CTGCAAAGACTCAACGTCAGCCAAGGCGAGTGAGAAAAGGAAGGGTGCGCCGCTCTACATTGTGTACAATTGCGCGTGTGAGTTCTGCATTGGCAATACCACAACTATATCAACAACACGCTCGGTGAGGTGAGCATCTACAACATATCATCAATACCAAACCCTCACGCATACTTAATTTCTTTATCTTGCAGTAGAGGTCGCATGGACCAGTACGGTTGGAGAAGATGTCATTTGAAGTCATGCATGAAGCTCTTCTGTCTCTTCAACCTTTGTGCTTTTGTTCAGTTCTTGAACACAAAAGTTTTGGAGTGTTTTGATGGCGTGCGAGAGTTCAACGTCTTCTTGCCCATTTCCAGTCGGGCTGTCCTTGCAGGAAGTCGGGTTTGGGATGGCTGACCTGCTGGTCGTGAGACGCGTCATGAGTTCAGAGTGCAACATCATGTCTATGTTGCTTTCTATCGGCCTTCAGAGGGGGCCTCGGATTGTCGAATCTTCTGTGGAATCCGGTGTCGGGGCTCTAGAGGTTTACGGCTTTTTGAAGCTTCGGGTACGGGCTAGCTCGTGGAGGTTTCGTATTTTCTGAGGGGTATACTCGGAAGTGTTGGGGCTCCCTGTCGCGGGGCTTCTGGAAGATGCTCCTTTGAAGCACTTGCCAAAAGCAGCAGAGGTTAGATAGCTCTTTGAGGTGGCGCCACTATTCCAGACTATGGACACTTTCAGAGTTTTGCAGTATTCCTGCCCACACAGGGGTTACGGGTTGTTCTCCTGCCAGGGTTCCCTTCCAAGGTACCTACTTCAGTATTTTTCATGATCGTGCGGATACGAAAGGGCGTTATAATGTGGAGCAGCCCCGCAGGGAATCCCCAAGCCCTAAACGCCGAAGATCTTGAACAGGTTCTGGCAAAGCTGCGAACACTCGCTGCGACGGTGGGGGCCTTTGCTTTGCCCAACCCGGCCGTTTGTGTTCATACTGTCGTTCAGAATTCTGCGTGTTTCAAAAATCAACAACCATGGACTTCGCCGGTGAACTCAACGTGCCCTGCTGCGAGATGTCCGAGGCACGCTGGGCACTTCCGCACCCGGCACGGCTCCTGTCCATGGATCCGAAGGCCAGCTGGGCTTCCTGCAAGATGGATCCTGAAAGCTGACAGAGCAAGAGCAGGCCGAGCTTCGAAACCTAAATGACTACAAAAGAACCTTCAAGCACCCTGGAGCCATGGAGCTCGCTTGCAGGTCCTGGCGGACACAGGACGGTACTGGGATTGGCGGTGGGGGCCGAGGGAACATTTCGAGTGTGGAGTCTGGTATGTAACGCTTGGGGCTGTGGTGTCAGAGCCGAGGTACAGGCTGGAGACGTCAGGGAGTTTCCCGAGCATGGTTTCGGATTTTCAATTCAAAAGGAGCAATGACGGCTTTTCGCTCTAGAGTTCTTTCGGACTCTTCGCAAGTCCTAGCAGGGCCCCGTCATGAGGGATACGTTTTGTGGCTGCCCACCCTCAAGTGCAGGAATCGAAGATCCTGCGCTGGCCGGGCAGGCGTGCGGAGTGCAGAGTCTGACTCAAGTCTCCAAGTTTAGGGTTCAGGGTTTGCGTTGTAGGGCTTCGTGAGGGTAACCACAAACTTATCGGAAGATCCCAGAAGACCGCGGTAAGCACGCCAAATCAATACGAGCAGGCCCGAATAACATGAGAAGTCGTTGTGTTCACGTTGGGTGCGCATTCGTACAAGTACGAGCCGATTCGCCGCAAGATGCAGAAGCTTTTCCCAAACCCTCGACCCGATTGAAATTTTCATCCACTTCAACCCCAAACCCAAAAGCCCTTGAACCCTGCACCCTAAACATCGCGTTTTCAACCCTAAATCTTGAGCTCCAAACCCTCAACTCGAACTCTTAACATTAAGCCGTACGTGTCCCTTGCCAGGCGATCGACACTGCCGAGGCACAACGTCCGGCAGGGGATCCTGCACGGCTGGTTTGAAGATTATAAAACCGATAAGTCAAGTTACTCACGGTCCGAGGAG